CAGTTGTATAGAAGTTGCATAGCTTCCCCCCCCACCCCTCACCTGTTATCTCAGGCTCACCCTATTGTACTGTGACTGTGTATGTAAATGTCTGATTCCCTGTGTAAGCTGTTATCTATGTTTGTCATGAGGGGGAAGGGAGGGGAGGGGTTGTAGCCCTCCCAGTGTCTCAAAAGTGAATGTCCTTTGTTTAATAAAGGAGTTGCTCTTTCTATGTTGAACCTTCAACATGAGTTTTGCCTCGTGATTGGGGGTTAGGGGCTGGTTACTGCAAATCTGCTGGCTGAGAGTGGGGTTTGGCGGGCAGGAGACGCTCTTTGGCGGAGGTACCCAGTCGGGGTACCAGGCGGTCCGTCACAGGCCCTTAGTCTTTATCTAAACTAAAGTAATCCATGGCTGTGTGTCACTGCACATGAATTAACATGCATTGGGTTAAGACATCCCATCCATTATAAATGGGCTGCCAATGCACCAAAACAGATTAAAATACATGCATTACCTTTTTAAAAATGTTTTTATTGCAGTACACCACAATGCACGGTAAATGTGCTGCATTGGAATGCCATTCACAATGAATGCCACTACAACACACTTTACATAGAACAAGTCTGTTACCATGTGTTGTGGCAATGCACAATGTAAAAGGACCCTTAAAACTGCTAGGAACACTTGAATTTCTGTCCTCCTCTGCTGTCACATGTTGCAGCTTTACCGTTAGTTAGTGAAGAAGTTAGTGAATACACTTACCTTACCCCAGGCTTTAAAGCTGCAGAGGGTGACATGATGCTGCTTCTGGCGAGAACCCAGAGAATGCTGAATACCTGGAATCTCACAAGAAAATGCTGCAGCACAGTGCAGGATTGTATTCTTGTAACACAATACTCAGCATTTCCCAGGAGGAAGATGACCACCCTCGCCTAGGAGCTGCGGCCAGAAGGAGGGGTTAAGCTGTTTTTTTTAACTAAACTGGAATAAGTGATGGGTGATAGAGTCCCAATGTATTAAAAAGACCTTGCATTTTTACTGCAAGATCTGATTTACTGAGTGACTTCATTAATATGTATAAACATATTCAAAGACCAGCTAGAGAATTAACATATGAACTTTAATGCTGAAGAAAAATGGAATAGAGACTTCACCCTTTTCAATGAGGTAGTAATGGCAAAATTAATAAAGGACATTTTATAAAGAATTTGATGATGTCTTTACAACTAATGGTGTACTAAAGATGTTACTAAAAACCACCTGACTAATGGGTCTATGCATTGTGATTAAAGTGTGTTAATGTGCACATTTTTCCAACACACAGCAATGCCCCGTACATGAATTAGTGCCTTATGGTGCCAATAGTTTTCAATGGTACCCCTAACCTTTAAGGCAGCACACTATTTAAATGAAATGAGTGCCTTGATGCAAGGTAAGGTGCAACATAATGCAATACACCAGAATGGATAGCTGTGAAGGAAGCCTTAATGTGCAGATCAGTACAATGTAATATAGTAACAAGTAAAAAGTAGATTTTTGTTTCTATTTCTAATAAGACACTCATTTATACTTTGTTGTCAGAATAGCAAGGTCCCAAAGGAGACAATATTAGCCATTGGCAGCAGAAAAAGGTGTGATGCGTTAGCAAAGGTGTGGGCTAGGAGAGGAAGATCTTCCAGGTTTGCCAATCTTAATCATTTGAAAGCCCTTACTTGCAACATATACCTGTGTGAAATCCGTTAAAGCCAGCGATGGCAAAGTAGACTGGAGAACTGGGCCTTGCGAGTTTTTGTACCTAGTATCCAGTCCTCCTGTAGGCGGCATAATCCATGGTTTATGAATATGAAATGCTGTGTACCTCGATGGTCGAGAAGAACAAAAACCTTTTTTATACTGCAGTAGTAATGCAAATGCGCATAGAAGGAACATACTTCAAGTCTATTGCATGCAATACCCACAGTACTAATCCTGTTAAAGGAAAACTGAAATATGAAGGCTTTCATTAAAATGCTAGTTACCTGGTTGTTATGCTCATACAGTGTTTCCAGTACTTTGCTTGGTCAGGAACAGAAAGCCAGTAGCACATCAGGAGTTCTAACTTCACAATCAAATTTTGATCACTGCTGCTTGTTACAAGACAGCAACTCAAAGTTGTGAAACCAGAGACAGCCAACTAGCATTTTTCGAAGTAGCTCAAAGATGGCCCTACAGGATATGTTTCCCTTTAGGTAAGCATAGCCTTAGGGTAGCAGTTCCATTGAATCTATGCCCTGGCTTAACTTATTTTCCCATGTGTGCTGTTTTTGTATTTTGCAATGACTCAAAAAAAAAAAAAAAGCCCATACTATATATCTGTTTAATGTACAGTACAAATGCAATATTTGTTTTAACTACTAATGCACATTTCAAATTGGTATTTTTATTAGTTTAACTATGCTTATTAATTACATACATCCGTTAAAAAAATAAAAGTTGCTTGAGAAGCATGGCATGTACGTAAGGTTAATTCAGAAACAACACTTAAAGGTCTATTTGTAAATGTTTTCCTAAAATTCATACAACTTTCACCCAAGATTCACAGTTTTCCAATTGGATTCAATTAAATGTGTGAATTATGGGTATAAATTATGTGACTTGTGGGTGACAGCATTTATAAATAGACATCCAAGTAAGTTTCAAGGAACCGCCAAGACTCTTTTAGCTATATTCTGAACACCTCCCATAATAATAAACATACGATAAATATTTTTCTTCATATATATATATATAGAGAGAGAGAGAGAGAAAGAGGGAGAAAAAACATATTTTGCACACTATTCAGAAAAAATGTGTTTATATACACAGAACATACATGAAAGGTGTATATGACTCCTGTCCTGAAATAGTGTTTGAATGTTGCTGGATTATTGCTTGTATGTGTTACAAGGAGCTTTTTACAAAATCCAATGTAAAGCCCAATTGAACTTTCAGTTTAATTATGCTAATTACAGTGTAGGTGTATTGAAACAAAAAGTGTGCAAAGTCTTACAGCTGGTTACTGTAAGCAGCCACAGCTTAAAAGAGAACTATGGGGTAAGAGTTTTCCCTCATAGTTCTCTTTAGGGTCATGGGAGGACATATACTAACCTCCTCCCGTTACCCAAAGCTTGGTATATAGTGGTCTATTGCCCGCAATATACTGAGAGATCCACCCCGGTGCGTGAGTGACGGCTGGCTCTGCCCACCCAGCGGCAGAGCCAGCTGTGCCCGCCCCCTCTCCTGTTCATCCCCCACTCAGCGCTGCAGGATCAGAGAGGGGAGGGGGAATCCCTGCGGGGACCGGTGACTGGCAGTCACCTCTCACTGCAGGGAGACAATTGGGAAGTGAGCAGAGCGGCTGCATGTTTCTGCTCACTTCCCGATCGATACAGCCGACCTGTGACAGCTTCTTTGTCACAGGTCGGCTCTAACTATGAGGATGAGTGGTAACCTCTCACCTCGTAGTTCTCCTTTAACTACCTCCCGGCCGGTCAGGCAGCTTCCTGGATGTAACAGGCTGTGTATATACAGCCTGTTAGCCCCGCCCACCGGAAAGGACACATTTTTAAAAAGGCAGCGATGCCTGTTTGCATACAAGCGATGGGGCACCCCCCCTCCCGCTGGTCACGGGCTCAGCTGTGCCTGGTGAGAGCCCGAGACCAGCATGGTGGCTCTCTGACGGAATCAGAGGGAGATCGGTACACAATCTCCCTCCGGTCCCCTCTCCGGTGTCAGAATGCAGAAGTGATGTATGTTACATCGCTTCCGCATTCTTGTGTCACTCACCAGCTTCAGAAGATGATGAAGCAGATCTCTGCTTCATCAGCTTCTTTGGGGGTCCCTAGGTGACATCTTGGAGACCCCTGATGTCTCCATAAAGAGGACCTATCACATATCTTTGCTATCACATAGAGGGCTTCTTAGCCCCCTATGTGATAACAATAAAGTTGAAGTGGGTAAATGGGTAAGAATAATTGTATTATAACATAATGTAAAAACACTTGTAATGTAAAAACATTTTCAGTAATTTTTCCTTAATATAGTAAAAAATAAAACCCTCAGTGGTGATCAAATACCACCAAAAGAAAGCTCTATCTGTCCCCAAAAAAATGGTATAAAATTCATTTCAGTACAGCGTTGCATGACGGAATAAATGTCAGTCAAAGTACTGCAGCGTTAAATACTTAAAAATGGCCTGGCCCAGAAGGGGGTGTGAACACCTGGTCAGCAAGTGGTTAAGATGGAAAGCCTGTCCTCTGCCAGTATGCTGTAGAGGGGAACCCTTGTTCTCTGTGTGCAGCAGTAATCTCTTTGCAGAGGTCCGACACACCCATGCCGAGTCAGACCTATAGCTCTGAAATTAGTAAAGCTCATGCTTCTTCCTGACTGGACAGCTGTAGCTAAAACTTAGCAGGGGATGGATCTCTGCACAGAGACTGCTGCTTCTACACAGAGAGCAAGGGTGCTTCTCTGCAGTATGCTGGCAGGGAGCAGGTGTTTCTAATCAAGATATAGCAGCTTTCTAAAGAAAACAAGCCATAAAGCTTTGCACACCTTCTGTTCTGATGCATCTGGAATGATTTCAATTGAAAGTTCAGCTGGGCTTTATGCCTGAAATTAGGGATTCTGCAGAAAGTTTTTAAACTGCCATACAGACCAGGAAAATATTTTAAAATAGTATGGGGTTGTAGATAGGGCTGCCACCTGTCCCAGATTCACCTGGCCAGTCCGGGTTTTGAGTCCTGTATGAGCTGTTTCCGGGTTTCAGGCAAAGCTGAAGCCAGACACAGCAGATACAGGACTCAAAACCCGGACTGGCCAGGTGAATCCGGGACAGGTGGCAACTCTAGTTGTAGAGGTCAGCAACAACTCAGCTGTTAGTAATTAGGATACAACGCAAGGACCTTGCCTCTGAATTTTCATATTGTTGGATGAATGCTCAAATGCAGTCTCTGTTGTGCTTGCATAAAGAATCTATATAATTCCTTAACATTTTGGAGGAAATATCGGATCCTTTTTGTCCTCTGATGTTGCAGTACGTCATACTTGAGCGATTCCAGAACATTCTGTGAAGTCCAGGTGTGGTGTGGACCTGTGCTGGAAAACGGAGCCTCACGCCAGCAGCTGACACAACAGGTGGACCTGCTTTAGCTCAACTAAGGTCTGTGCAACTTTGCAGCTGTGCCTGTGCTGTATGAACAGATACAGGAAAAAAGTAAGAAGAATTCTTCCAGCCATAACATGTAAATTAACAAACATAAATATATAATTTCACAGTGCAGCATCTCATTTCACTTAAATGCTTACTTTAAAAAGAAAAGAAAAAGCTTGTCTAAGCCACCCAACCAGCCAAGACTCTCCTAATCATAAATATATAATGTCTTACAAACTCCAGATGCAGACTGACTATGAGTTGAGTGCTGGTTGCCGACAGTCATGGCAATGTGGACATCCACCTCTGTGCTCCTCTTCCTCACTATCCTGTGTATGCCATCAGCACATACATGAGTAAGCAGTGGAGAAAATTGCAGCAAACACTGCAGACTCGGCAAATAATAATTCTGCGTCTGAGGTTTGTAAGATGCATATATTTATAATGGGGGGCGTCAGGGATCCTAGGAAAAGGTTTTTCAAGGTAATCTTCAGTCAAGTGAAATAAGTTGATTGGATTACCATTCAGAATCCGTTTGGTCTGTGCATGAATTGTGTAGAGGAGTGGTACCCAGACTTCAGCCCTCCAGCTGAAGTGAAACCAAAAATCCCATCATGTATCGGCTTCTGGAAGTCCTGTCTGAGTCTTGCAATGCCCCAAGTCTCATAGTTGTACAACAGCTGGAGGGCTGAAGTTTGGCTACCCCTGGGGTAGAGGTTTACATGGATGACTTTAGTGTTAGGAAGTGTAACCATGCAAAACTAATACAAAATGCACATTGCCATTATTTTCTATGGCTGTTCTTTGCCTTGAGACTGGCTAAGCTTTATGTAGAACAATGCATGCTTTGTAATAAGCAGCATGATTGACTGTTAGCTAGTCTAAAAACTTTGTAATATAATACTTTCAGCAGATAATCAGTTTGTGCCATTTCTGTAAGAATTCTCCTTCCAACGCTGTTCTGTGCCCTTGTTCTGTTTAGGCAGAGTAATGTTCACTCCCATTTGAAAATCATTTATCTGACTGTTGTGCATAACGTTCACCAAGTAGAAATGTATTCGAACCCTATGTGCAAACACAACTTTAACCCCTTAGTGACAACTTCAGAAAATGTTTTCGTTCCCGGGGACTGGAACTATTTTTTAATTTTTGCTATGTAACATAGTTAGCCAGGTTGAAAAAAAGACACAATTCCATCGAGTTCAACCTATAGAGCTATAGGGGGTGATTTACTAACCTAAACACACGCACGCACTAGGTGCGTGTGATTTTTACACAGCAAAACGTATTTATCAACCAAAAAGTCTCTAAAAGCATATTTCCACTAATGCCATATATGGAAAAATCATGCACATGATGCATATATAATGCTGCTTCACAGTTTAGACAAAAATGGTTAGCTCATGCATTTACATTCCTGCATTCATCAACGCAAGCAACACAACATAGAGATAATTTACACAACATCACCTTGCAAATTCATGCAGGGCTTTGCACAACACACCTGCTGGGTGTGTACACATTACAAAGGTGTTTAGATTCCACCCATGGATCATGCTGGGAGGGAACACACTACAGAGGTGTATACATGTTCGTTGTGTGTTTATAAGGTTAGTAAATCAACCCCATAGAGTTATTTTGGGAGTTACAGGTCACAAAATAAAAGGAGTGAAATACAATTTTAGTTTGCAACAATTTTAGAATGTGGTATGTTTCGTTTCCTATCTTTCATAGTATTCTCATCACTATATTTTCTTATAATCTTTGATTTTTTCCTTTTCACATTTTTAAAAATGTTAAAGTTTTTTTTATTTTTAAATTGTATATTTTTGTAAACTAGGGGGCACGAAGAGGTTATTTTTTTATTTACAAGGGCTTTCATACTTAGTATTTCTGAGGAGAATACAGTATTCTCCTCAGAGATAATTTGTATCAGTTTATAACACATAGCCGGCTCGCAGTTGCACAACACAGTGAGCTGCTGCCATCTCTGTGGCTGTCACAGCTCTGATCACCGCCAGTTTTTTTAATTGCTCTGACCATACTACTGTGTCCACTACTGTGTTGAGGGTCTGTTTCACCCCCCCAGGGACCCAACAACAGCAGTAACTCAGTGAGCACTGGTCCCTCCACGGACCAGAGCTCACAGTACCGCATGACAGGATGATCCCTCCACCAGTCATTAATTAACTGAACGATCATGACGGTATAATACCGTCATTGGTAGGGAAGGGGTTAACACAGGTAATTAAAGACTTACATGATTGTTTATAAACAATCATATGACTGCAAAGGTGGAAATACACTTTCAGTAAAACATATTCATGATACATTTCCATAAATGACAGGTCCATGTTCAAATGCATCTAAACTACCTTCTCTCCCCAGACACATAATTGCTTTGAACGTGCCGCAGCTTTAGGCATTTGTTTACATACTTCCTCATAGACTTTCATGGTACTATGTTTCAAAGACAGAGATACTTGAGATGTCTATAGGGACAGGTGTGACCAGCGCACAGAAGATTTGTGGGAAAAAAATGTAAATAAATGCTAGAGGCTGCTGGATCACGATAAGTTTGCATCTGCAGAGAGTGGGTAGTTTAGCTTGAGGAGGTTTGTAAAACTAAAGTGTTTATCACTGAAAACAAAGTGATTTGTTTGAATGTGCAATTATCCTTTAAGCTGAATGTTATTCACAAGAAATTGACTGAAAATCAACAAAATATATTTACTTTATCTATATAAGATTCAAGCAGGGTATATCGCTAATGGAAAAGATCATTTATACAAATACATTTGTCTTATTTACATATAATATTTCTTCTCTTTCTTTTCCACTTAAATTATTTACTGTTATGTCAGTTTATATCTAAGGGGAACCAATATCTTACACTTTGACTCAGACACACATGATGTTCGCCCCGTATTCCCCAGCGCTGTCACTGCTGTTGCTGCCTCCCCCTGGGGCTGAGTGTTCAGAAGAAGAGGGGAGGGTCTGTGGAGCTGGGGACGTGGGAGACGTAGGGGGACTTGGGGTGGCGCACAGAGCTGGAAACAAAAACGTGAGAATGAGATTATACAGAAAGCGTAAAAGGTGTTTCATGCTTATGTTGGCAAAAGAGAGCAATGGAAATTTGCATCTTACACAATGCAAACATAGAACCCTCCCGCCCCCTTCCTAGAATAAGATGCCAACATTTCAGAAAGGAAAAGTTTTAGTTAAACACATATGATGCACTCACAAATACTTGTCAGCATACACAATTTCTGAACACAATTTAATTTTTTTTTTTTATTAACTGGTCACTGAAAATGGCTAGGGAAAAGCCTTTAGGCTAAATAATGTCTATTACATTAAAGAAAAAAAACAATTTGAATGCCTAGTTCTAATAAAAACTTGGTTTAATATTATTATTTCTGGATATAACAATATAACATCATGTTAAGACACTCTCACAGGAAGAAAACCGATCAAAATCAATAAAATCAAAACTTAGGGGACCGCTGTTGGACACCACAGTGTTTACCTCACACTGCATCTTCATTTTACACTTAATTTATACATTGCAGGCTGCGGTGTGGAACAGGCAGTATGCTACGGAGTGTCCTTTGCATTATGCTGCAGAGAACACTCTGTGATTTGAAGAGAGCCCGGTCTTATGACTCTTATGGAATTGCTCTCCTCTCACCAAAATTCTTAGTTCTGCTTAACTGCCAAAACCAGTTCACATCCCAATGATGGTGTTATTCCCTGTTGATAGAATCTCCATAATGTAGTAAAGATCAAATTACTTTTTAGAGATGTAAACCTTTGTTACTGCACAGACAACAGCTACTGTAGGAAAATGTTTTCACTGGAGTCTCAGAAAGATAGAACAAGTCAATGAGTTAATCAATCCAATGGTGCTGTTTATTTCCGAACTGGGATAACACCTATTTTATATTTGTTACATGTTCCCATTCACATAGCATAAGCTAAAAATACTTTTACTTTCATACACTTGCAATGTTAGGAGGGGCTGTGAGGGATGAGGGGCTTCTCCATTGTATGTTAATGTGAAAAATGCATTTCTCAAATTTCAGTCCTAAATCATTCTATAAGGACATATCACTGTGAAGGTGCTGAGAAAAACCTGGAATCAGCCATGTTGCCTGCTGCAACAAAACATCTAAAAGGTAAGACACATTTTAATAAAAAATATTTTTCGGTATGCTGTGTGAATAGATACACATAAACACAGAGGTTTTCTCAAATTTGACTGCAAAAGGGGAAACAACACCTGAACAATACCTGCATCCAATCAGATTGTTCAGGTATTTTAACAGCCAGTGGGACTGACTAGGAAGATACTGAAGCTTGGCCCAGAGGGAGATTCCTCAATCCACACAGTGTAGTGTAGATGGAGGAATCTGTTGCATTTTTTCCATCTGACCATAGAAAATCTACAGAAAATCTATAGGTATATGGCCAGCTTAAGAATAAGTGCTGCTTTGATATATGTATTTAAATATACATCTGTGTACATACAGGTGAAAATCGATTAGAATATCGTGCAAAAGTTCATTTATTTCACTAATGCAACTTAAAAGGTGAAACTAATATATGAGATAGACTCATTACACACTTTTCCCTTCCACATAACTTTCTATTAATGTGCTTTGATACAGCACTTTGGGAACATCCAACTTCTTTTGCAATGACCTTTTGAGGCTTTCCCTCCTTATGGAGGGTGTCAATGATGGTTTTCTGCACAACTGTCAGGTCAGCAGTCTTTCCCATGATTGTGATTCCTATTGAACCAGACTGAGAGACCATTTAAAGGCTCAGGAACCCTTTGCAAGTGTTATGGCTTAATTAGCTGATTAGAGTGGGACACTTTGAGCCTAGAATATTGCACCTTTTCACAATATTCTCATTTTCTGAGATTGTGGATGTGGGGTTTTCATGAGCTGTAAGCCATAATCATCACAATTATGACAAATTACGGCTTGAAATATTTTTCTTTGCATGTAATGAGTCTATCTCATATATTAGTTTCACCTTTTAAGTTGCATTAGTGAAATAAATGAACGATATTTGCACGATATTCAAATTATTCAAGTTTCACCTGTATACATATTATATAAATAGATTTCTGCATTGTGTGCATTGACATACCATGGCCATACCACTGCTAAAAAAGGGGCACAGCTATAAAGCAAAATGGTAACTTTTGCAAATGTGCTTTAGAACTCTGAAGCAAAAGTATCCCATTAATTTCAATTATTGAAAAAAATCCAGGGACAAGGAAAGCCAGTCAAATGACTTTTGTCACTCTAAAGCAAACAATATCCCATTAATTTCAATGAACAAAAAAAAATGTATCGGGAGGAAGAGAATCTGGTCACATGACCTGTATAGATCTTCGGTAATACACAAAATGAAGTCTCCACAACCTAAAACAGGGGTTCAGACCCATAATATTTCCCCAAAGAAAAAATAATAATTAAATAAAAAATAACACATTTTTAGCGCTGTATATACGCTTGCTAACAGTTTGTTGTTAAATTGGGGAAGACCATCTGGCCTCCCCCCATCTTCTGCACAAGTCCTAAAACACCTCCGGTTGTTAAGACTATTACCTCAGGTCAAGGTGCTGCAGATTGAGGTAGTCTGTCTGCCAGTTGTATACGCCTGGAATGTGAATGACGTAGGCTGGACAAGCTAGAATGCTTGAGTTGGGGTATCCAGTGTTGCAGTGACAACCAAATCGCTCAGAGTTCCAGAATGTTAATTAGGTTGCAAGATTACTCTGGAGACCAAGTCCCCAATCCTTCCAATACAGGAGGAAGGATATCCCTAACTCCAGAGCTGGGCTAGGGTGTCAGGTTTATGTAGAGACTGACCTGATTTCTCCCACAATGAAAGAATGTTGTGTTGTAGGGAATTGAAGTGGGATCATGCAAATGGAACTGCCTTGAAGGAGGCTGCCATCAAACCCAGAAATCTCAGGCAGAATCACAGAGTTGGATGGCTCCTGGACTGTCTGGTAGCAGAGAATCAGAAGTTTTTCTTGGGGAAGAAAAATTCTGGCTTTAGCTGTGTCTGTGAGAACTTACAGATACTCCAAGTGATGTGTCAGTACCAGCACTAATTTCGGAAGGTTGAGGGTACAAACTAACCTTTTAAAGATCTGGACTGTCCGTATTACATTGTTCATCACAATTTGTGACAACTGTTCCCTCAACATGAGATTATCCAGGTATCTCACAATGGGAATACCCTGGGAGCATAGTTGCCAATATCGTGAACGCTCGGGGTGTGGAACACAAAGCAAAAGTTAGAGCCACAAACTGAAGGGCGCTGACCAACCACTGGTTGCGGTGGTTGCGGTAGCGGTGATGTGCATCCTTGATGTCCACAGAGGCTAGAAAGTCTCACTGATAGGGGGAGGCTATGATAAACCTGGTAGATTCCATGCTTTTGGAAGACATTTAAGCCTTCAGATCCAAGATGGGTTTTGGAACAGTGAAAAGGTTGGAATAGAAAATACCCTGAAATCTTTCTAAAGGAACAATGATCATAACTCCTTGGATCAAAAGATCTACATGACCAGTATGAAGCTCTGCATTTCTGTGAGGAGACACACAGACAAGTTGGACAACATAAATCGGGGAGGGGGCAGAGAGCTGAAAGCTAGCTTGTAGCCCCTGGAGACTATGTCTTTTACCCAGGCATCTGAGATGCTTGCTGAACAGTGTCCACAAAAGCCAACAAATGCTCCCCACTTTGGAAAGTGCGGAACGCCGCTTCATGCTGAAGAGTGGCTATCTGCAGAGTTGGTTGGACTAGAGTTTTGGAAGAGGAATGTTGTCTCATTCATGTCTGATATAGGATTCTAACTGCTCAACATTCATTGGTCTTCTTTGTTATATTTTTTGTTTCACGGTGCGCCAAATGTTTCAATTGGTGAAAGGTCTGGACTGCAGGTGGGGCAGTTAAGCACCCGGACTCTTTTACTACGAATGGAAGGTGGAAGGAGGAGGCCACCCAGGGAAGAAAGGAGGCTTAGGGTCCTATCCCTTTGTAACACACAGAAGTGCTCCCTTCACCAAAGTTAATAGCAATGAGCAATGCAACCTGGTGAGTCAGGGAAGACAAATAAATATCCCTGATAGGTTCAAAGAGAGGTTTCTGAAAGCAGACAGAACTGGGTTGAGATCCCGTGGAATCAAAGGAGAAGAGACACCCTGTATGAATGCCCTTGTCAAGTAAGAGTGAGAAGCAAGTGGTCTTTAAAAAAAGAGGCTAACACTTTAAGGGGTACTCAAGGCCAACTGTTGGTCTAGGCTAAATTGGAGAAAAGATAATTCATCCCTCTGAAAACTTTCTTGGATGGAAGCCTCTGGCTTTGCACCAGGAGAAGTAGGCTTTCCAAGAGCGATGGCAGACTTTGTGACAAGTTGATTTAATAACCTTTAGGAGTGTGGGGTTGTCAGAGTCCAAAAAGCCCCTGTCCCTCAAGACCTGGGCTTCAACAGCCATGCAAATAAAACGCCAGTAACAGAAAATCTGGACAGTTCAGGAGGGGTCACTAAGAGTCTGCCAGGAGCTTGATTATGTCTGCAACATTCTCCTGAGCCAGTTGAGTGGGATGAGGATTGCATAACTGCTCTCCATCTCGATTCCATGGAGCAGGCGAGGGAGAAAACTAAGTGGAGGAAAGGCGCAAATCAGGCTGAACCAAGCCCATTAGGTCACTAGAACATCCACTGCGAAGGCCCAAGGTTTCCTGGTCCTGGCAAATCTGTTTTTGAATCTTGGGGCCTTGGAGGTCCACTTCCTGGTAGGCAATTCTTCTTATAATTGATATGAGCCACGGATGTTGCAAACGAAAGGTCCAGCAAAGGAAAGACAATGGAATTGTCGTGAGCTCCAGAATATTGATTGGGAGCTGACAACTAAGGCCCCTGTACCGAGACGGTATCCAGGCCTCCTTCCCAGCCTGACAGTAGGCTGAGTCCGAAGTGGTTTTAGGCTGAGGATAAGGCAAAGATGTGGTCAGGCAGGCAGGGTCAGCAAGAGTCTGGCAGTGAGGTACAAAGTCGAGATCCAGGAGAGTAGGAGAGATCAAGGAGAGTCGGGAGGCAGGCTGAGGTCTTGACACGATCGGGCAGCAAGGTACAAAACCGTCAGGAAACAGGCAAGAGTCACGGTGTAAATCCAGCATACAACACAGAGGCAGCTCACACAGGAAACTAACCCAAATCAACGGGCTCAGAGCACAGGAAGTGTCCGGTATTTAAAGCCTGAGATAATTGCAGATCTTCTAAGCTGGAGCCAAAGTGTCCATAAGAACAGTTGCTCAGTACAAAAAACCTGCAGCAGAAACCAAGTCCTTCCAGTGGCTGAATGGCTAGGTCTGTGCACTACTGCACCAGAGACCCAGGTTCAAACCCCCGAACAGGGGCTGATCAGACAGGTACGTGGCACTGGCATCCATCCGTAACATTTTCCAGACCATCAGGAGAAGGATTTCTCTAATTTTACCACAGACTTGTGAACCTTGCTGGTCAGGAGTATGTGACAATTCAGAGAGTAAGGCTGCTTTCCAAAGTTACCAGAATGTTGAGTTGTAAAAAGGAACCTGTGTCCTGTTATGTACGATTAAGAAAAAATAAATGTCTAAAATAAAACGTGGGCCCTATCTGGATTTAACATGACCTGCATAGTGATTTTTTATATTAAGGCCCAAATATATAGGTATAATCATTCACAACCCATAAAATCCTTAAAATACTGTGTTGGTGCATACTTTCTAGCTTGTATTGTTCTGCCACTTGAAATCTTACAGTGGAGTAGAAATAATTTATCATATGTTTTATCATTATTGACATTTTTGAGCCAACAATCTAGTTGATATAAATTGAATTAATCTGAGCCATGTAGCTGCTACACACTCAAGTGTGTGAGCCATTGTAAAGAGTCAATCAGAGCTTAAGTTACAGCAGCTGATACCACAGGGCTCCCTTATCTTCTCATAATTTTGAGAGCTGATGAGTTTGTGTTGGTCACAAAAGAAAAACTAATTTGCTAAAGAAAGATACTTTGAATCATCTTAGGTCAGGCCGTTACACAAAGCAAACGATACAGATATAAAAAACAAACAAAACATAAGGCTATGGTGCCAGCTGAACTTTCATCTACAAAGATTAAAGAAGCATGCTGAAATATACTTTTGAACAAAGACTACATTTAAGTATAGTGTTTTATTTATTTGTTATAAATCAAGTAGTTCTAATGAATTATAGAAATAATCTTAACACACTAGGGTTTATTTATTCATGTTTTCACACAAGTTTAACTAACTTTCACTTATTTTATACTTGGCTATAAAGGCATTCAATGCCGATATTGTGCTGCCTAAATTCATACAAATGTACTGTATGTGGTCAAAAAGCAATATTGGGATGGTGGTCTTTGATGAGCAAGGCCAAATGATACAGTCCAAGCCTTTTACACTGAGTACTTTACCATGCCAAGAATCCTTGGCATTTAGAATCCTCAATATGTTGAAGAACACTGCCTCCACAGACATAGTGGTGTCTTTGATCAACTAACAATATATTTAGTGGCATGCTTTCAGAAAACTTTGTTTTCTGTCCCATTTATCACACAAAAACACCAAACTCCGGGGAATATTATTATTAACCCTTGCAGTGCGGAGGTAACCTTGCTCATTTTCGTCTAGTGTGGAAACAACAAAGTTATACTCACCTGATCTGGCTTCAGCAATCCCTGGAGCCTTCCTCCCCTCCTCTGCAGCGGTCTACAGTCCCCTAAATCATCACATTCTATACACTGCGTATAGGACGTGAGGACACCGAGAAAAATTCCATTGCACCAGCAAAGGAGGAGACAGGCTGGAGGGAGTGCTGTCACAGTTGGCCAGCTTCGAAGTTCGGGTGAGTATATGTTATTGTCCCCCCTAGACCAAAATCAGCACTTAATCCTTGCAATGCAGGGGTAGCACCATTGCAAGGGTTAATCATTTCCCTGGGGTTCTGCTTTAAATCATAGCCTTCTCATTACAGTATGCGAGAAGAAAACTAATCTTGAAAACTTGGCACTCAAGTATTGTTATTGTGAGTTAAAGTTTTCACTTACATTTTTATTCTCCTGCTTTAATTAATAGCTAACTCGGTACTACCCTTTAACTCACAGCATAGCATGTATGTGAATGGGAAACACTGTGCAGTCTGCAGAAAAGAAAGATTGTTTAATATTTACTAATAATTCTACGATTCTATGTCAAAACTCTGTCAAACTAGCACAGAATATTTAATAACTTATTTAACCAAGCTCAGGTATGTTAATTAAATACCAGGGTAAGTCAAAAATGATCTGCACTCTGGCTGTACAATTTATTTGAATCAACTTTTAGAAAAGTCAAATAAATTTTTTAATTTTCAATACACTTTTTGTCCATCTGTCAACAAGCTTTCGTATTCCCTCATTAAAAAATGATTTAGGCTGAGCTGTGAGCAACAAATGCACCGCTGTCTTCACTTTTTCATCAGAGGTGAATCTTCGTCCTCGTAGGGCTGCTTTCAGGGGACCCAACAGGTGACAGTCCGATGGAGCAAGCTCAGGACTATAGGGAGGATTCTTTAACACATCCAAACAAAGTTTTTGCAGAGTGTTGACAGTGTAGGCAGAGGTGTGCGGATGTGCATTGTCATGCAAGATCACAATGCCCTTGGATAGCAGTCCTCTGTATTTAATCCAAGGCTTAGGCTTCAGCTCTTCAATGAGCATCTCACTGTACACACACCCTCAGACCCCAAAAACTAATCACTGCACGCTGCTCTTCTTTTGTGCAAATCACATAATTGGAAACTACATAAAGTTAATCACAGTATTTGTACTTTTTCTGTGTTGATTACAATATATGCCTCATATACTGTAATTTCTGCACTCTTTATTTGTTTAATTTTGTGATGCACATGATTGAATTAATTGCACAAACTATATTATACACGGGATGTTTTGAGGCTCATTAGTTAGGTACAGCGCAGTGCATAAATATTTATTAGTATAGAATATTACAAATAATGTTCAGGTGGAAAAAGCTGTTCAGATTATTTTTAAAGGCTTTCCCCAAATCAGTTACTAAGGCCCAATTCACACAGCGCATTTTGAAATTCCTGCTGCAGGAATCCCAGGGTGTCCTTTTTAGATGAGGCTGCTGTACCTGTTCAAGTTAAAAACTGGGTGACAGCGGCCGCATCTGTAAGCGGCAGTCCGCATGTAATTGTATATGATACAATTACATACGGTTTGGAATAGATCACTGTCGCTGGACGCGTCTGTCCTGCAACCACTATCCATTACACACGGCATGTAATCATATCATTACATGTGGACTGCCACATCCAGGCGCATGCAGCCACTGTCGACTGGTCATTAAGTTGAATGGGTATAGTGGCCACATCTGAACGGGGACACCTGGCATTCAGTAGGTTGCTGCCACAGGAATGCCAGATTGCCCAGTGTGAACGAGGCCTAAAGGCTTTGACTGCTAACAGTTGTGAAACAAGCAGATATGTGTGCAATACTGAACTACGTATTACCAGAAAGAAGACGACCACGTCGTGAAGCTTCGGTTGCCAATGCACAGGACAGTTCTATACGCTTCTCCTGCTCCTGAAGCTGAGATTCAGGATCTGGTGGCATCTCCAGTTCAGAGTCACTCAAGGGAATAACATTCTGCAAACTAAGAAATTAACAAACATGTCTGATGTTGTATTGGACACGATAAAGAAGAAAACCTGTGATATAGCATAAGATATGACAATTTAGTTCTAATTAGAGTAGAGTAGGAGAAAACTAAATACACAATTAAAATAAATGTATGTTTACTGTTTTACTTGAAAATACTTTAATTATTCTTGTGATTTCCACATCTCTGTCACACTAAAGGTTACACACCTATTTCCTGGTTTAAGAAAGGGAACAATTATTCTCCCTACTCCCTGTATCAGATTTTTACAGTGTTATTTCTTATAAATATTATTAGACATTTATGTTTATACATTTGGAAACACATCCAGACCATTTTTGAAACAATCTACTGGCTAAAACCAGCTCTGGTGGAAGACCCCTTTCCAAATAAAAAGGTTAAAGAGTAATTCCAGTTTCCCAGGCGAATTAAGGAAAATGAAGTTACCCCCCTCCAATCTGAGTCCCACCCCCCCACTGTACTTACTTTTGGCGAAATGCTCCTTATCCTCTGCCTGTGTACTACCCCTACTCCACACACAGAAGCGCTACCGGCACCCTGTATTTTAAATTTAGTTCGCAAATGGTGAGCTCTCAATGGTCAGTGGGGTCACCTGACCGCGCTGCCCAATGAGAAGAGCTTCTTACAGCAAAATAAATACACGCTTAAGTTGATTTCTTGATTCAATAGCTGGTGAGGGTCCTGTTAACAAATTTGCCTATACTTAGTGTTTAAATACTTTGCAATATTTTGGGCTGTGTTTGGTTAATAAATTAATCATCCTGTCCCATCGCACTCCTGACCGGACAAAAACCCAAATCCAACTGGGTGGGTGCGGTGGTGACAACGGATGCCTCCGTGAAATGTAGATAGATTAAAGTAGTCACTCGCACTCCATGATATTAAAGTCAATGCTGTTTATTGACTGACATAACACACATCTCCTTAGCGACGTTTCGAGACCATGTGGTCCCGTCCTCAGACAAACAGAGAGTGGGTCAAGCAACAAAATCAAACAATAAATACAGGTGAAACAAAATCAAACCACCAATCACAATGCAGTTAATACCTCCTCCTCTGACGTCCTAACCACGTGATTCACACCATGCTGCCTAGGTGCAATTAGCTATATGCTGAACACATGATACAGATGCATACTGGTAAAATACCTTGTTCGTAGTGGTGATCTTGCATTGCCCGAGATCTACCTGCTTTTTTCCGATCCGTGTCATCCATGGATCCGAGTTGCATCCTGCTGGCTACTCATGTCTAGGGGACCGGCTCTCACGGTGTACGCGCAGTGTGTTGTCTGCGCATACATATTACCAAAGATCATTGTGCCGTCCGCCAGTCAATGAGTGCCAGGAACCTGGATCAGGTGACCGATCGGTTGCTAGGTAACCGGGCAAGGCTTGTCACTTGCGGAAAATAAAAGTTTAATATTTTTTTATTAAACAATGCAGCAAAATATATGACATGCAACTTCAATCTGATGCCTGTTGGAAAAATGTAACAACCGTGCTGGTACATTGTATCGAGCAACCAGAACGTTCACTGTATCTTATATACTCAGTGTTCCACTTAGCTAAAGATAGAAAAGTGAAATAAATAAGGCGGGGGGGATATACTTATACACAGTGTCTTGCAGTATAGTTGTACTCAGAGTGATGTAGTTGAAGGGATACTATTCCCATGTTTATGGAAGAACTTTGATTATATAGCAGGTCAAAGTATGTGATAGATCACTCTCTTCTCTATAAGGAGAGCTCCTTAACATACAATCCTAAGATTGATAGCATTTCTAAATGAGTGCAGTTCCAATCATGGTGATTCCCTCCTCTACACTTTGTCAATTCATTGACAACTGTCTTGGTCCAACCAGCATGTTATGCCAGAGAGCCTGGTTTGAGAACCAGGAGGAAAGTGAAGAGAACAGGGGAACAGTGGATAGCTTATGGCCATAGTACTGTATGTCTAATTGTTTCTGCTGCCTGCAGGGCCATATTTACACTTTTTTTTCCCGTAGGCCAGCTATCTTGCTTTACCCATGACTGCTTTGGCCTCCCCCCTACGCACACATACTATGTCATGGCAGCAGATAACAGACACATGAAAGCAATCAGTACCGTACTGATACAACCAGAAAAATGTCCAAAAAGACACAATCAGTACAATAATGACAAAACCAGAAACATATCTGCAGAAACAATGAGTACCTAACTGACAAAACAAACAAAAAAAAGAATGTGCGCAGAGACGGGATCAGAGCCTTACTGACAGAACCAAAAATATGTCTGAAGAGACACAAGTTCAATATGGACAGAACTAGAAATACTGTGCAACATATCAAACCCTAATTAGTTATCAGAGTATCGCAATATTAAACAAATGATAATAAAAGGAAAAGGCGGCACTTAACATAAATCAGAATAGATGTGGACAATTTGTTGGTGCTCTTCTGAGCAAAAAGAGAACAACCCACAGTTAACCCTGAAATAACTTGAAAAGATCAAACAATTTGAATTCATCATTGTTTATTCCATATTTAATAAAAATCTGGCTTTGCTTCTAGTTCAAGGGCACACTTTAAATAAAAAGTCAAATAAAAATAGTAAGGGCGAAAACAATAGGACCATTAAGCTGGCTACACACCTATAGATGATCTGCAGATTTTTTGTGGTCAGATGGAAAAAGTGCAACAGATTCCTCCATCTACACTAAACTAGATGGAGGAATCTCCTGCTAGACCAAGCTTCAGTATCTTGCTAGTCGGCCCTTCTGGCTGTCAAAATACCTGAATAATCTGATTGGATGCAGGCATTGTTCAGGTGTTTTGAGAGCTAGCAGTTGGTGTTGTTTGCATGTTTGTCCAGTTGTTTGCTTATTATAACAATAGGGTATTTTTAAAAACAAAATTGTTTTATTACGCAAATGATTTAAAACGTCATTCTTACAAAAAAAAAGTTTGTCTGGTCACAAAAGTTTGAGTACCCCTGAACATAAATGGCATAATGCTTGATCGTAATAGCATATTTAAGTATATTTGTGTGTGTGTATATATATATGGTAACTGTATAGCTAACCTTGATTTTGCGATAAGTGTTTTTATCCGTTCCATCTTTCTCTGCTTCTCTTGCAGTTCCTCTGGGCTTAGAGGGCCATCGGGTTCCATGTCAAAGTACCGCTCTGGAATTAGCACCTTATTTGGTGTGGATAGCTAAGACACAGAAAAGGGAACAGAGTGTGATAGATACAGTGTAATCTATGCAACCTGTGTAACATGTATAATACAGGTCCTCAAAATATTTCCAATTATAAATAAAATACCTGCTAGTAAGCCAAACTAAGAGACAAAGGTTAATAATAATATTATTATCAATAATGATAAAGTTATTTTTACAGGAGTAGGAAAGGAGTAAAACCCTTGTCAGTTAATTTTTAGTGTCTGGGACAGGAAGAGAAGAATCATTTTCTTAATGGTACACAGACACAACAGGACGTTAGAGGAAATCTCCCAATGTGAGGGGAATTCCCCGGGAACAGGAAGGTTTCCCCTTACCTCTTTTTCTGGGGACAACTCTAAAACTTTGGATTTCCCCGCAGGAAATCTGAAATATAGGGACAGTGGTCATCAGTACAAAGAGAGGGGTGAATCTCCTCACAGACACCAACAAAATGTGACAGAGGGTCTACCCCTTTACCCTAAATTTTACTTCACCCAAAACTTGATGTGCTTTAATTAATTTGGAGACTTCATTCTACTACTACCATATTCTCTTTGATGCATCACATATAAAGAATCTATTGGAGAGAGTAAAGTTAATTCTCTAAGCCGGTATCACGCTGATACTCTCGGTTGCAAACTCAGGTGCTGACATTGGAAAGATATGATGATTAGTAGGTGACTTGATATGACTGCATCCACCCAAAAATGAAATATATATTTTGACTGCGCTGCTCCTTAATAAAGTAACAAATAAAATGCATCAAAATTGCTTAAAAAGTATGTAAAAACAAAACTTTGTTGTTTTGCCTAAATTAGGAAATGGTTAAGAGTCTCCTGTCAGAGTTTTTGTGTCCCGTTAGGGATATTTCCCTTTATTTCCTATTTCATTGATACAGAAGGAAGTAAGATGCGATCTCTCCAAAGTGAGAGGTTATCCCATCTTAGACAATTGTCACCAGAACAGGTTTCCCCATTGAAAATATACCCTCTTCTCTTGTTCCTGTGACAACTCAAAAATGTTGGATTTCTCATGACTTTCTATATCAGAGACATTGGTTAGTGGGGCAAATAATGCGGATAGAGACAACAATAAACATTTTACAGAGCTTCTAACCCTTCCAAACACTATTTAAAGACTAAACAAGTTTGGGCTTTAACTACACTTTAAACAGACTCTGGTTACAGAGAAGTGTTTAATGTGCTACCTGTCCAGACAAAACCTATTTAAAACTACATGGCTCAGTAATCCCCAGCCAGTGGTCACATATACTGTCAGATACCGATATACAGGGAGTGAAACATGCACATAATGCCCACAGTAGTGGGTACATGCAACGGCAAGTACAGTGTGAGACACAGTAACTCTGAAATACCACAAGTGGATAAAGTATGATACAGAGCGTGCTACATATATGCTACAATATAATATTGAGGGAGGGGCACCTTGTCTGAAGTGGAGAGCTGAAAGAAAATGGGAATAGTTTCATTGATAAAGTAATACATTAAAAACAGGAAAGACAAAATGAAAAGCCAAAAAAAGGAGAAAGAAATGTAATAATACTTCTCTCTAAAGACAAAAAACTTATGTGAAAAAGATAAGTAAGGATTGGCAGTGTACAGAAGAATAGATAAAGGAAGCCCTGTACCGAGAAACATAGTGGCTGCCATTGTTGATCTCTTCTCAGGAAAAGGATACTTGCCCAACTCCAGGGGAGCTGTTAAATTTACCCATATACAGCACATTCACAATCTAAGGTCCCTATTTCACATGCATAAGTACACAGACAAATACTAGGGCTGATTTAGACAGAGTTCAATTAACCAATCAGCATGTCTTTGGCATGTGGGAGGAAACCAGAGTGCTCAGAGGAAACTCACACAATGCAAACTCCCTGCAGTGAGTGTTCTGACTGAGATTTGAACTGGGGACCCGCAGTGCTGCAAGGCAGAAGTGCTAACCACTAAGCTACTGTGCTGCCATTGTGCCTACATGCTCTGTGGTTTGCCTAGATTTTCATAAATCAGCCCGTAAAAAGACTACGGCATATAGTTCTGATTTAAGTACTAACCTCTCTGTTGATGTCTACATTAAATGCCTGAGGCTCCACATCCATCTTGCGCAGGCGTGCAATCTCCTCTCGTGGGGACTCGTACATCTTTTGAGTTTCTTGTGAACGTATAGCTGCTTCAAGGTCAGAGATGTCTACCTCATGAATGCTCCTATGCCTTCTTACCTGTTATTGTGATATAAAATCCATTTAGATCCACATATTGTTGTATGAAATTCAATTTGACTCTATATTAATTTATTCCATCTACTCTTAGTATAACATTTATCACAGCTCACCACTCGGTATGTGCCTGCTGGTTTGGTAGTGCTGGGATCTGTTTGCTGACCGGGAGGGAGCTGAAGGCTCCGCCTCTTTTCTTTCATAGACCCACTCTGGTGCCGTTTTATGCGATCTATTTGCTCTTCCACACTCATTTTGGACTTAACTTCAGCAGGGAACAGAGCACTTTTTGGACGTTCCTGTAAATAACACAAAACATGCATGACCTTTCTGGTCTCCATAATACAAATCATTACATAGCTTAAAGTTTAAAGCCACTTTTGTTGAAAAAAAAAAAGCTGCCTCGGTGACTTATATCAACTAAATGGGTTTAGCAAACTTCACTGCACAGAAAGAAAAAAAATAATCCTTACATTGACAGGGTTTAGCAAAGTTTACTGCACAGTGCTACATGGTGTCATTTGTACTGGAACTCATGGATTCCACCTACTTCCTAAGTTTGTGGGTATTTCTGCTATAACATTGCTTAAGACATTTTGGAAATCAATTGTTTAGAAAATGTCCCCTATCCAGTGAAGCCATGTTTGAAATGTGTCATTTTTCAGAAAGTTAGATATGGCTGCAGATTCACAGATTAAGAGTATTTAAACCATATAATAAAATAAAAGCAAGCAAACATGCTACTTACATATGATAAGTAAACTCTCAGGGTTTTCTTTGTATCTGCGCCAGATTTCTAATATTGCTCACCCACTCCCTAATGCAAATACTGCTAATAGCTCTCAAGTCACAACACGCATGTGCTGGACATCCCTGGATCTCACTGCCTACATGTTTGCGCTCTACTGGCCACAGAGCAAATGTCTTAAGGACAAAGTTTTTCTTTTAACAATTTTACAGCACTGGATTTGCACCCTACCTGCAAGGAGGAGGAATGGAACACTGACACTCAGCAATTGCATTCTCATATGTATTGTTATGTCGTTCACACCTGTTTTTTATTCAATCAATATTGTATCTATAAGCAAGGCTCTTTTCCTCCACTTAACATTGGGCAAGTGCTGTTTTGTACTTTGAAACTGAAGTTACCTTCATCATTAGTATTTTTATTTTATTTTTCTAGAGTAATTACTCAGAAGCTCTCTGCATAAGCAGGTGCAGGTGTAGCAGGTGGTGGGAGAGTTATAACCTGCACTTAAAAAGACGAAATTAGCATCCATGGCTTCTACAGAGTCTCAGCATTAGCAGTGGTCACAGATCATCCTTTCCTCTTCTCCATTTCTATACCCAGGATGAGAAGCAGGACAGAGGCTGAAATGTGTAGATCTTGGCAGCTACTGAGGTCTGTTGATTTAATCGTGAAGTTTTTCTTTTAAACCAATGACTGTACTTACCCCCTGTAGGCAATCAGTTGTTTAACTAGTATTGCAAGTAGAAAGTGTTTAATTTTAACTTCCCAGAAATCCACAAAGAGCAGCCAACATTATCTTTAATGTTTAAAATTTAGAGCCTGTTCACACTATAGCATTGTGCTAGGCGCCTATTACCGTGCGTTTTGCACAGATTATCGCACAGAGCACTTAGTGTGCGGTACCGTTCCATTCATTTGAGTGGCACCCCAATGCTCCCCCCATAGCCCTGAGCAATGGATGGCAGTACAACTTACTAAGTGCATGGTACCGCACGCTAGATGAGCTGTGCAATAGCATGCGCTAAATGCATGGTAATGCTATATTGTGACCATTCCCTCAAACTAATACTGTATACCGTAGGTAGAGAGAGAAAGTGCCTTCTTCTTACTACTAGTTGTACAAAGGCATCTTCTACCAGTAATCCAGATGCCATGATGGACAGGACATCACTTTTTTCCACCAGTGCCTCTCCTAATGCAGATAGCAAACAACTACCCATCTCTCCCACCAGGCCTAGGAGGGAAACTATGTATTCTCACCAAACAGATCTGGTCGACTTCTTTCTCAAGTTCTGTTTGCCTCACTGCTCCTACCTACACCCCAACCAAATCTGCACCATTGGCGTCTCTTTAGGCTTTATCAATCTTAGTCCCTTTGGGTTTTCCATATTACATTTGAACTGAAATGAGTGTAAAAGGAATATTTGAAGTCCCCATAATTGCTGTTCGTGAAACAAAATAAATGCTGTTTTCTGGAAGGTTTAATCTCTATAACACCAACAATTCTGGTGACAGTCTTATATCATCAACGGTGGCAGTAACAGGAGCACTTTCTCTTTAGGCTGCTCACTTCACGAGGACCAGAAACTCTCCCCCCTAACTTTTTTCTCCGTAGAGGATGAACATCAAAGACCCCTGAGAGAGCATGACTAACAATGCCATACTCCTCCGGGTACTGGTTTGCTCTTTTGACCATGAAGCATGTACCAGCCTTGAGAACAGGGCAAACATTTAACTGATAAGGTTCTTAACACCTCCTAACATATTCCAAACACTTTCCAAGTAGCTTCTTGTATGTACAGTTTTTTTAACTGAATACTGCAATTCAATGCACAATTCAAAATCCCAAGTATCCACATATTCCAGCTACACTGAAAAGGTGTCATTCTAAGGACGATATTTACTACAGAATGGGTCATGTTCCATTGCCTTTAATCTGCTGCAAATATGCTCTTGTGTGTGCGCCAGTGTTAGAATGTGCAGTGATCATTCAAATTTACTGTTCAAATTAGAAATGTATGCAGGGGCACAAACCTTTAATTCAGGACTAGGAATGTACTGTATATGTCCATTCTATTTTAATATAATAATTACATGTTGACAAAAATACATATGCCAGTGAAAGGGTAGGGAAAAGCCTGAAGCAATATAGAATATTAGGGATGCACCGATATATCGGCCACCGAAACATATCGGCCGAAAATGGCACTTTTGGCTGAATGCCGAAAGTGCCATTTTCCTGCCGATAAATCGGTGCATCCGTGATTTCTTTCCTCTCCGCTGGGCGTTGCTCTGTGTCCCAGCGGGAAGGAGAGAAAGTGACAGCCGGCCGAGCGCCATGAGCGGCCAGTGTCTCTCCTCCCATACCGCTCGGCCGCCTATCACAATGCAGCAGAGCGGTGTGGGGGCGGAGACAGCGCTGTCACAGGAGGCTGCGTGTTTGTAGATAATTGAGGATATGGTATGGTCTTTTTCTATTTCGGTTTCGTTTCGGTTTTTACATTTCTATTTCGGTGAACCTCTATAAAATATGCAATGCATAGTATTTGATTTACCCTTGAGATCTGACCATTTGATGTGTGGTTTCCTCCTCTTCTTACAACCAGTTGTTTTGTCACTGATCCTTCATCACTTGGTGACTTTGTGCGTGGAGGAACAATGCCCACTTAGAATACAAATGACAGCAACAAAATTAGGCAAAAGACACATGACACAACATCTTAATGTACCCACATTACAACTCGCCCTATGTCCAGCTGTGTTCTCTGCCTTTTCAGTCCAATATCCATGACAAATTCAATTCTCTCCTGTCATCTCCATAATATCTGCTTCACACAATCCTTTCAAATGCTCAGGGCTATATTTACCATATGGCAAAATTGTCATTCTTGTCCCTGGGATACTGCCCTTTCATGATTTTTCTCATCTGGCTGCCTTATCCTTCAAGCTCTGCTTGAGAAGTACTTAGATCTCTACTACATGTTCTCTTTCAGAGCACCCCAAATGATCATTCCCTGGCTGAGTACTTTTTGCAATTTATATTCTCTTCATATAGTTTCCAATAGTGCCTATATGCAGATGAGATTCAGATCTATTTTCCTGCTCCTTTTCAGCCTCCCGTTGTCCTAACAAGTGCTCGCATCTGCATTTCAGCCATCTGGGTATCTAACCTAGATAAAAATACGCTAATTATATAAAAAGAGATCACTTATATTTCCTCCTCCACATTGCAAAACACTCTTCTCACATCCAGAGGATGTATATGCCCTGTCATTTTTACCATCGCAACATCTTGAAAATATTTAGCTTCCTTTCTTAAGACACCATCAAGTTTCTAGTGGATGTCTTCATATATACAAGCCTTGACTTCAGCAGCTTCTTTCTGTCTGATATTCCACTAACAAAAATTCGGCCAACAAGCAGATGAAATGTAATGCTAATATTTGGACTTTAAAGGTACCAAAACTTTATACTACGGCAGCCAAAAATTTATTTAAACAAAAGTGTGAGGGGGATTTTGTGCCCCTGCTCCTGTTGAGGAGGTGCCCCTGGATTCTTTGTCGTTGGTTGTGTGTGTTTGAGAAGCCATTCAAATGGTAAAACAGCCAAGCAGCAAGTTCTGAGGTCTTAAGAGGATATTGGATGCATGTATATCAGAATGTAATCCATGTATTGCATCAACTTATATAATGGATTTTAAGTAAAAAAAACAAAACAGTATTTATGTACCACAAAATCCTTTTCCTCAAATTAATTGAGGGACAAAAGATTCAGTGACAAATGACCATTGATAGCACTTAGAGCCAATTGTTTATCCAGGCTTGATTGTAAAAAAAGTATTTTCTTGGATGAAAGTTTATTTTCTTGCAACAAGTAAAGTATGCCTTCTATGTGTGATGGCAGATCTTAAGGGACCAGGAATTCCTGTCTTTCAACATCGTGGAAGTTGGACAGGGTCCTGTCCTTTAAGACCTGAGCCTCAATAGGGTTTGGTATGCAATAAAATGGGTCCAGCAGAATGGATTTTCTCACAAGGTTCATAGAAAAGTCTGGATCCTTACTTTCGTACTGAAGAAGAAATGGAAGCACTAAAATGTTCGTGCAGAATCAGAAGCTAGAGACAGAAGGTCCCAGACTAACTGGGAAGCTAGAACCATTTTTAAAAACTCTGAGGTAAGAAGTACTATCATAGCAGCAAAAGATTAAGGGGTTTTGAAGGTTTAAAAGGTAGGCAAGGTTAAAGGATGCTTTAACAATATAAAAAATGGGAGAGAGGAGCCCAGGATTGCAAATTGACAGGAAAACAACAATTTTTAAAAGACCCATAAAATGTAAAAGCAAAGCTACACTAACCAGTGGAGGTGCATATTTTTCAAGCAAAGATAACTAGCTATGAGTTCTGCGACTAGAGAAGGTGGCAGTCTCAGAACCTCTTTGAGAGATGGAGGTAATATAAAACAATGACTGAGGGAGTTCTGTCTCATCAAAAGATCTCCTGCGTGAAAGTGAGCTCATGGAGCCAGCAAATGGAAACTTGGGCATTCCGCTTTCAAAAGATTGACCAAAAAGACACCTGCTTTCATATGGCAAGTGCAGAAGTCATTCTTTGATTGCATCTTCAACAATCTAAGTTGCACTTGCATCAGACCAGCAAATTCTTAATATAGATTTGGGTATGCCAGAGGTGGTACCTCTGGTTCAAGTAAAAATAGCGCCCTGTGACTAACTTACCAGTACACACAGGTATGGAAAGTGGCCTTTGCAGAGCCAATAGCACAGATACTACTTACCCAGATATTTCTGTCAGAGGGAGACTGCAAAAGAAGTGGAGAGTGCTCTGTGGCTGATACAGAACCCACAGGTCTGAAAATTGCCCGAAGTTCACATTACAGTATCTCATTATCTTCGCCCCGTCTATGGGCCTACTCACAGAGAAAGTCTTAAAGCTAGTTCACACCAGAGGCTCTGACATGGCCCTAGTTCTGTAAAGCACTCTGTTGCTAACAAACCAGTACATCAGATGTCTGAGGAGTGCTACAAGCAGAGTGCAGTACCTGAGGGTCACATTACAGGCAGGCCCTGCAATCTTTGGTCCGGCAGGGTCTGGGTACAGCCTTCAAGGCAGTGTAGAGATCAGTTGAAACAGCTTAGTGAAGGTCTTGATTGAAGTGTAAAAAACATTCACGAAGAACAGAGAATTTTGTTAGAAGAGACAAAAAATAGTAAAAATTTGGGTAGAGTTTTCCTTAGCAGAGCTGAGGAGAAAGTGTCCAACCTCCTAGGACACTAACACTAGGCATGACGGCTGGAGGCTAAGTTATATAGTGGGCTGGCTTAAATTATTTTCTTTTGCCAGTGTCACAAGCTCCTAAAGGCAGCAGTATAACCCAGTTATATATGATTTTTTAACATTCCTGTGTCTCTTAATTGATGATATAGAAATACATTTCAATGATTTGTTAAAAAACATTTTGATACATCATTGGATGTCATGGTATACAATTCTGGTACCTTCATAGTCACAATATTGATATTAATATTAAAATTATTGGTAAAGTAACTAATCCACTAGTCCATGCACATGGTTAAATTAAAGTGCTTTTGTAAGACTTATCTATATTTCCCACCACTCCTCACCTGCTGTCCCACATGCAAACCAGATAAACAGAATTTACTCACAGCATGTCCTTCAAAAGTACCTTTATTAGCAGCCTGCTGTTGTAGCTGCCATTGTTTTTCAGTCTCTACATCTGCTCTTGTGGGCGGGCAGCTAACTCCTTCATTCAGCAGAGGTGGTAAGAGATGGGGTGATTCTCTCTTATATGGCTCTAAGTTGAGCTTTACCTGCAAAAAAGGAAGGTAAAATAGCGCATGAAGCAGAAAAACTAAGTAAAGGAAAGGGAGTAAAACACAGAAATAGCAGTATAAAAGTCACTTTATAGAAACTAGGGACAGATCAACTAGGTAAAGACTCGTATTTATGGTAAAGTACCTATACCTACCGACACTGTTATACAGCCTTGGCAAAGAGAAGCTTGGCTCTTGTGTTAATACCATTAGTATAAACAGCATTCATAATTATTCAAAGACTTGTAATAATATGACTTGGATGCCAGGTACATGACCCCTTAATGACTGTGTACACTTTCATTTATTAGTTTTTGTATGCTAAGTTGCAGTTTTACCTAATGCATTGCTATGCATTTCTGTATTATTTCGGCAAGTCATATAGATATGGTTGGGAAAAAACTCTGTTAAAACAATTGGAAAATGCTATATTCCCCGTCAGATCTTTCTTTAGTACTGGATGTTCAGTCTTCTGGTCCTTTCACCCCTACAGGACAATGCTTGTTGAAAAACATCCTTCAGAAGACATTCTTGATAGCTATCACATCAGCACACAGAGTGTCAGAGATTTAAGCCTTCTGTTCGATGAGGCCTTATATACAATTCTACCCAGACCAAGTCGTTTGTCCCAAAGGTGCCCACAATATATCATTTCAACCAGGAATGGGTTCTCCCAGGATTTACAGGACAAAACTCAGAAAGCTTTCTTAAACTAGACGTATTTAGGGCACTGAAACATTGTCTCCCTAACTCAGTCCTTCAGGAAGAATAGGCACCAAGAAAGGAAAATTACGGAAGTCAAGTATAAAATATTTCAGTTTCCTGGTGCCTATGGCAGCATACAGATGGTCAATAACTTGCTACACAGAAGGGTTATTCTTGCAAAAACATATTTAATAATATTGAAGTATTGAATATTAAAATACTGAGTCAGGGTATACAATTCTCTGGTATAATAATGTATAAAATACATTTGATAACAAGTATAATACCCAGCCCTTCTGAACACTCCCACTGGGTTACAGTAAATGGGCTTTCCACATGCAGAAGGTCCCTATACTTTTACAGTTTCCCTATTTAAAGCAGTTTTTGCTAGCTTGTTCTTAGTTTGCATTAAGACAAGCCTGAATTATATATACAAT